AACAGGAGATAAAACGGATGAAGTATTGAGATTTTCTCAGCTTCTGGCGAGACGAATACCGTCCGACATGAGATGTAAAAATGGATCAATTATCGGAATTTTCTCTTTAAACTCCGCAGATTCTATCCAGACCACTCTGTCGAAATTGTTGTTCCGATCATTAGAGTCCTTGGTGGAATGATGTCCTCTCTACACTCGAATCTTGAAATCATACCGGTCTGAAGCACTAAGGCAGAAATCTTAGCCGGACAGATGCAGAAGGCTGTCATTTTCGGCTCACTGCATTTGCTTGGAACACATGATTCTCGGACCCAATGATCACTTACCCCACGGTGTGGGGAGTAGTCGTTGGTTGATGATGCTGGCATGCCCTTCCTAATGCATCGGGGCTTCGGGGGATGTTTTATATGGATGATCTTAAACTTTATGCCTCTGGAGAGAAGAATCTCCTCGTTAGTCCTTGAGGATTGTGGAAGAGTACACGCATGCTATCGGTATGAAATTTGGGATGGACAAATTTGCAATGGGATGGACAAATTTGCAATGGTCCATCTCAAAAGAGGACGATGCGGGCACTACGGAGAGGATAGGCAGCTCGTAGATGGAAGCATCCTACACCATTTGGATGCCGGAGAGACGTATATTTACCCCGGGATGAAACAACGCCACTCACAAGAGGTAACAGCAGTGAAGAAGGTTGCCGCGGCAAGTATAAGCATAAACTAGAATAGATCTGTTCATCGGAACTGTCGGGGAAGAACAAAGTTGCTGCAACAAATATGCTTGCCGTTCCAATCTCACTCTACTTGTATGGAGTAGTGAAGTGGACTCGGGAGGAGCTGTATCAACTCGACGTAAAGACACGAAAAAGGATGCATCTCTATAGGAGTTTGCATCCCAAACCGTCTGTTCCACGGTTGTACTTTCCCCGACGACAAAGGGGCCATGGAGTTTCAAGTCTGAAGTGTCTACATGACAGAATGGTACTGGATATAACATGTAAAGTCGTCAGGAGTTCGGATTCCCTTCTCTGCATGGTCCGTGACCATGAAAGAGCAAGCATTGGAGCATGCATCTTTAGGGCAGCTGCTCGAATAGCTGATGAACTCGATTTAGTTTTCGACAGTGAACGAGGTGACCACGACTCTGTCACTGAGTTGGAACCCGTTCAGCAAAAAGCTCAGATAAAAGCCGCAGAGATCACCTCACTTCTGTGGAAACACAAGGATGAGCCAATACATGGGGTCTTCTTCAAAGCGCCTGACTTTTGCTTTCCTCAGCCTGAAGTTGGAAATTAATGGGTTCATCATGGCTTGCCAAGATGGTATCTTCAACGACATAGTCTACCGCAGTCGCGTGATGGGTATTGAGGTTCCAGACACAAGGCATGCGGAGAGGTGCCCGAGACCCTAATTCATTTGCTATCAGCATGTCCAGCATATGCGATCTCGCTATATCCATCGACATAATGCGGCCCTTAAAGTGCTATATTACCATCTACGGCACTCTTACGGTCTTCACGAGACACCGGTTTTGCCCTATGCCCCGGGGGATATTGAATCCGTTGTGGGGAACGAGAAGTGCCGAATTTATTGGAACTATTCTTGACCACCAGTGCAAGACGATATTTGTCGTTGAGTTTTCAGTTCCTGGCGAGACGAATATTGTCCAAAAAGAGGAGGAAAAACGGATAAAATATCGAGATTTTCTCTTTGAACTCCGTAGACTTTATCCTGACCAATCTGTCAAGATGGTTCTTCTGATTATTGGAGCCCTTGGTGAAATGATGCACTCTCTATTCCCGAATCTTGAAACCATACCGGCCTGCCGCAGAAATCCTAGCCGGACAGATTCAGAAGACTGTCATTTTTGGCTCACAGTGCTTGTTCAGAGCACTTGCTTCTTGAACCCAATGATCACTTACCCCACTGTGTGGGGAGTAAATGTTGATAATGCAGGCGCGCCCTTCCGAATGTATCTGATCTTCGGGGGATAGTGCCTGACCAGCGCATACATCGGTAAAAAAAATTAAGCAGGATTGGCCACCAACACCCTTGCGCCACCACTTACCCAGGCAACTGGTGCTCAACCAAACTGGTTGCCCAGGTGCACCTGGGAAGGAAAACACTATTCTATCAGCGGTGCCGGCCGTGGTTCCACAGGGCTAACCACCCGGTAGACCCGAAACTTGGCTCCTGGTAATTGAGGAAGGGATCCCCGCAACGATGATTTGCCTAAAGATGACAACCCTGGCAATGACATCGGATGCTTTGAGTGGGCGCATGGGCTAAGACCTAAGATATAGCCTTATGCATTGCTATGAGAGTAGTTAACCCGCTCGAAGAGGGTACATAACGAGAATGCATGCTCTGATTTGAGAAACACATCCTGAGCAGGCTGCTTTTTCCGCCCAAAATCTTAGGGATTACGTATCCTATCTTCGGCGGCAGGAATCTCTAGCTTCTTATTAGCGTGCTAACGAAGTGATAAAAGTGACAGTTCTACAACCTGTTGGCACGGCTGGAGAGGAGACTCGCATCATGCCACCAATACTGTGAAGCCAGGGCGCTCCACAGTATTATGCCCTTGAAGCCACAAAAAATGACTTGTTTGGATACCGCCATATGAAGCGTAGTCCAATCGCTGACGTTCGAAGAGCCCTTGTGGGTTCCAAGAACTTTGCTGATTCAGACCCAGATGGGCTGAACACTCATTGGTGGAAAAAAGCTACCAAGCATCCACCGCCATCTGGCCATAGTTTTCAAATCATGGCTGGACGGACAGCAGTCGAATCCAGATTGGTTTGTCGAGGGCAGATCGTTCTCATCCCCAAAAGCGGAGATTTGTCAATTCCGAAAAATTACAAACCGATAACATGCTTGAATTCCTGTTATAAGTTGTTTACAAGCTTCTTATACACACGAATACTCACCGCAGTTGACCGAGTGTTCGAACGTATATATGAGCATAAAGGATGATGCAAAAAGAACCTGCTCATCGATAAATGTGTAATGCAGGACTCGATACAATATAAGCGTAACATCTCAATGGCCTGGATGGATTACCGCAAGCCATTTGATACAATTCGCATTTGCTCAGATGCCTTGCGGTACCCGACAAAATAGTGAGATGTCTTGACCAACTGACACCACTCTGGCGAACTCGCTTCACCATAACATCTGATCAAGGCAGAGTCCAAACAGGGTGGGTCATTCTCAGAAGGGGTGTATTTCAGGGTGGTTCCCTCAATCCCCTTCTGTTCTGCACTTCACTATTGCCATTATCCGTTGCGCTCAGGAATACTTGAGGGTATAACTGTGGCACCCCTGGAAACCGGAGGCACAAATTCATCCATTTGTTTTTTATGGATGATCTTGAACTTTAAACCTCTGGATAAAAGGATCTCTGTCAGTCCTTGAGAGTAGTGGAAGAGTACATGCATGCTATCGGTATAAAATTCGGGATAGAAAAATGTGCAATGGTACATCTCAAAAGAGAACGATGCGGAGACTACGAAGAGAATGTGCAACTCGTGATGGAAGCATACTACACCATTTGGATGCCGGATAGACGTATACTCACCTTGAGGTGGAACAACGCCACTCACAAGAGGTAACAGCAGTGAATAACTTTCTGTGGCAAGTATCAGCAGAAACTTTGACAGATCTGTTCATCGGAACTGCCAGGAAATAATACAGTTGCTGCAACAAATATGCTTGCCGTTCCAATCTTATTCTACTCGTTTGGGGTAGTTAAATGGACTCGGGAAGAGCTGTATCAGCTCCACGTGAAAACCTAAAGAATGATGCATAGAAGTTTGCATCCCTAATCATCTATTCGACAGTCGTACTTTCCCCAATAACAGGGAGGCCGCGGACTTTTGAGTTTGGAGTGTCTACATGACAGCATGGTACTGGATGTTGCCTGTGAAGTCGTCAGGAGTTCAGATTCTTTCCTCTGCATGATCCGCGACCATAAGAGAGTAGGAATTGAAGCATTTTTCTTTAGGGCAGCTGCCCGATCAGCTAATGAACTAGGTTGAGTTTTCGACACTGGACAAGATGATCACAACTCTGTCACAGAGTTGGAACCCGTTTAGCAAAAGGCTCATATAAAAGTCGCAGAGATCACCTCACTTCTGCTGCAACACAAAGATAAGCCAATGCATGGGGTCTTCTTTAATAACATTGAAAACCTTGGCTTATCAAAGCGCCTGACTTTCGCATTTCTCAGGTCGAGTGGGCTGAAGTTGGAAACTGAGGGGTTCATCATGGCATATCAGGATGGTGTCTTCAACACTTCAGTCTACCATTTTGGGGAACTATTCGTTCCCCACCCTCAGGCTCATACAAGTTCATAAGCCTAATGTAGTTCTTCTCGACCACCAGAGCAATACGATATTTGTTGTGGAGTTTTCAGCTTCTAGCGAGACGAATACCGTCCGATAAGAGGTGTAAAAATGGATAAATTATCGGGATTTTCTCTTTAAACTCCGCAGACTCTATCCAGGCCACTCTGTCAAGATGATTGTTCTGATTATTATTAGAGTTCTTGGTGGAATGATGCCCTCTCCACTCTAGAATCTCAAAATGATACCAGCTTACCGTACTACGGCAGAAATTTTAGTAGGACAGATGGACAAGTCTGTCATTCTTGGCTCACTGCGCTTGCTCAGGGCACATGATTTTCGGACACAATGGTCACTCACCCCACGGTGTGGAAAGTGGTCGTTGGTTGACAATGCTGGCGCGCCTTCCCGAATGTATCGGGTCTTCGGAGAATGGGGCCTGAGCAGCGCAAACTTCGGAGGAAAAAATAATAACTATTATTATCATTATCATTTCTTTTCAGTTTTTCGCCACTCATAGTTTAGTATTAGGACTTGAAGAAATTGGAAATGTAATTTTTGTTTAAATTGTTTTCTTTATTAGTCACTCGGTATATTTGAAACTATATCCAAGTTGAATTTCGCACATAATATCTGCCACCGCTATCGCAACTCGCTAGTACTCACCGCTTACGTCATACAGTTCACAACAGCTCAACGCTTTCATTTTGCCAGTTGGATTTGTATCAGGGACTCCACAATTCAGGTAAGTGTATTTTCAACTTGGTTTCGCTATTTATAATCATACAAACTGCTGAAATATCTGATATTTCATGAATACGAAAAATCATTAACAGATGTGTGATCTTATTTTTCAGGTCGGTCATAAATTCCTCTATTTTCGTCTTCTAGGAAGTATCTATCCATTCGGGAATTTTTCTAGTGGCCAATCAGAACTCAGGTCTGTTTGAATTTGCCCACGAAACAATTATTTTGTCTAATCTGTATTGAAAGTTACGGCTGATTGAACATATTTTGTACATTAAATGAATAGGGAAACCTACAATACTAACAACGTGTTGGTCATGCCTAAGAGATGTCGCTAATGTTATCAATACAAGGTACTTGAACTTTTGATCATAATTGTGACCCAGAACTATAAATGACAGTGTAAAGAAATTATCATGATACATACTATTTAATGATGAACATATTTCGTCTTTTTGACTTCTAAATAAATTTCTATCTGACATTTGACAACAGTTATATTGAAATTGATATATCCGAAAGAAAATGGTTCTTATTTATCAGTTTAACTATCTTCATCATCTATTAGACTGTATACTAACTTGTTGTTTCGATACGTTTATCTTTCAAAATGATTTGTTATTAGCGTTTTCCGATATTTCCTTGAAATTTCACTAAATATGTTTCGTCAAGTTTGATGATATTGAAAAATAGATTTTACCCGCCCTAAAATCAATTGGGAGTGTCCAAAGCCTATCGCCCCAGTGGTATTGGCAAAGATAACAAAATGGCAACTGTGCTACCTATATTTTCTACCTTGAACTTCTGAATTCTTTAATCATTTCATGGAAATGTATTGAAACCTGTTACAATGCGAGGTCAGTGGTACAAGTTAAACCAATTTAGTTGACGTCACAATTTCATTATATTACGAACTTGAATAGCGGTCAGTAATCCAATCTGCCACTTTAAACATTGCTGTTACATTTTACTTTATGTAATAAATTCGGGAATATCTTTGTAGATGGTATTCGACTCATAGCATTATGTATGCTTCAAGGATAAGTACTTATGAGTTGAATTTCATTCACACAAAAGTCAACAGCAAATCAGAACATTCACTTTTTTAGGTATCTTTATAACAAGTGACGGATACAGGGAAACAAAAGACAAAACTGATCCTCAATAATTTGTAGGGGAGTTTATTGGAGTTAAAAAGACTCATATTATTTTGATTTCATTCATTGCTTTCTACTTGAATTCAACTCCCCACTCCTTTTATAATATTTATTGAAGTATCGGGCTTTTAGTCAATTTCATTATGAAAAGATTTAGAAAAAGTGGACTAAGTACAGGAGTCATGAAGTCATTTGACACTTTCGTTTATGTATAACTAATTTTATATCCATGTACCCTTCAAATACGATGGGGCAGGTTCATGATCCATGAATCTTCATATGGACACTATTCACAAGATCTTCAAAAAGTCGAACTGAATAAGATTTTATTCAATTCTATGTATTTTCATCAGTCTTGATATCATTTACATATATTAAACACTGACATCAACTACATCACTTTCACAGTTATATTGGGGTGTAGCTAGTTGTTCCGTTTCTTGATTTTCATTTAATTCTAGATTTCCTTCAGCTAGTATTTTTCGATAGTCATCTTCATGCCTGTTCATCTTGTAAAATTTTATTTTATTCATATATCTCTGTCTATTCTATACTATGAAAAATAATGCAACCTCGTTGACTTGTATTTCTTCTGCCATATTTTCATGACACTGGTTCCAACAATCCTAATACCTAGCTGTATGAACTTTTATGGGTCTTTTGTTCAATGCTTATCATATTCATCTGGATATAATTTGGGTTGTCCATAGATTGTTTGCCTCCTGTGATCCAATGGAAAATGTCCAGTGATTAGCCATATAATTGGCTCCTAACATGTCATGAATGTCACTAAGTCTGAAATGTTGTTTATGACTGATTTATTTACTCTAAATCCGCTGTGTCCGTTATTAATCCAGTTTCGACTTTTCAAAATCATGTCAGTCTTTCTCACATTAAATTAGTTAATAAGATCAATGTGTTGAATTGTATCTTCGTATAGGTTCAGTACAGGGATTTCAAAAGACTAAAACCATTTAGACGGGAATATTAGATGAAGCCAGACGAAGAACACTTCACATAGTGAAGTGTTCTTCGACATTATCTAGTAGATATTTCAAAAATATCACGGAAATATTGTCTGGACCCGGAATCAAATTTTGTGATTTAGAAGTGCTTCATCATATTCTTCTCTGATGATAGTTTCATCCAAAGGATCCAAAATATCAACTATCTCTGAATAATATGTAATATGCTTGTTTCTTCTTTTCAGGACTTTCATTCTGTCATCAGAATTAATTCTGGAATATTTTCAAATTTTCTTCTATACTTCTGCCATTCAAGTTGAGCTATTTGAAATGGAAATGTATTCTCTACACGATTCTTTTGAAGTCTGGTTTAGGATGAGTCATGCTTTTTTTCTGAGTCTTTTCTTTTCGGTAAGTGAGCTTCTTCTCAATCTCTTTCATTTGCATTTTCGCATACTTTGGTTGCTGTTTCGCAATCTTCATTCGACCAAGGTGCTGGATTCTTCAGTGTATTGAAGTTTGTTTTTCAGGCTTCTTCGAAACGACAGAAATAATACCCAGAGATTGATCAACGTTATCTGTGAAGCTGCAGTTTTTTAAATCTCTGCTATTCATTAAAAAAAAGTCCCCAATGTGTTGATTTAAGATTCCATTTTGGAATCTTGAACTATAATTCAAAATGATTATGTGGTAGTCATCGTCATTATAGATATTTGAGACACTCAACTGATATTGAAATTTGAAAGATATCTGTTCAATTGATAATTCGGAAACGAATTAGAGACCAGTAACTGATACGTTCTTAGGTTTCACAGCCAGAGCCGACCTCTCAGAGATAATGGGCTCAGGCTAATTTAGTTTTTTATTGAAAATTATATATTATAAAAGTAAATCATTTCCCAAGTATCCAACAAAATGTTCCGGTTTATATGTCAATTAACAACTGAGCAAGAGCAAATGAAAATGTGAGACAGCCCGCGGTACATATTGACGTAACACCAGGCAAACGAGCTTCGAGAGGTGGCAACCGGGCTTGTAGTTGGAGATTATGAATCGCTGCCATCGTCGGATTTTGTTTCATTTGCTGACAGGTTTGGAAACACCACGTGTTACATATTCACGCAGTTGATACACTGCAGTAAACAACACACAACTCGCTCTCTACGGCTTCAGTACACGTATGTATTTCGCTTATCCGCCAGCACTCGCCGAATCGGCTGATGTGACATCAAGTTTGACCACGCCCCGTTTCGATGGACGCCACATTCAACTATTAATTTGTAGGGGAAGATAAAGAGTGAAAATTCAGATTTTTTGCAGATGTACTATTTGAAACATAAACTTTCAAATAATGAAATAAAAAAAAATTTGGTAAATGAGCCCATTGTTGTTAAGCACACTCCAGGCAAAAGTGAATAAGAAAATAGATCACAGTCTGTTATCCATTCATTCTCTTTACTGGAAATTTGAAATATGTATTTTCTACAATTGATACATTATATAGAAATGGAGAAAGCCAATCAATGTTTTGATTGGTTTCAGGTTTTGCCGTGGTCTTCTTTAGTCTCCGAACGTTTCAACTGCAACTGCGGCAGTCATATTCAGTGTCGTGGTCGAAGTACTCTTGTTGACGTGACAACAAAACTGAAAAACTGAAGCTCTCATTTCTGCTGTGTCATTCATAGTGCCGATTTTCTGCGCACTCTAACTAATGGCGGGTTCGCACATACTTCCCGCGCGATTCGGATGACTTAGATTCGTTTTGGCGGTTTTTAATGCTGTATGCCAGATCACTGGTAGATATGTTCTCTCTTTCTTTCTGTTGAAGTTCTATTGGCGTTTGTGTATTTTTATGGCTTCTAAATACATTTTTGTTGAATAATGATTCGACGTTGCTAGCATCTCGGTATTTTCGAACAGAAACTTATGTTCCCCGTCGGACAGTGCATGTTTAACGACCACAGACTTTTTGATCTATCTCAATCGACAGCTCCGCTTGTGCTCGACTAGGCAGGTATTAATGCTTCTTTTCGTTTGACCGATATAGACTTCATCACAATTACATGGAATCTTGTAAACTCCCGTTGATTTGAGTGTGTCTCTGCGTTCTTTTGCTGATCTCAAATACTCCGATATTTCTTTCGTTGGTTTGAAGATGGTGTAAATTTTCTCCTTGTTAGAATTCTCCCGAAATACATAAACACTAAGATAACTTCAACAGAAAGAAAGAGAGAACATATTTACCAAAGATCTATCATACAGCATTAAGAAGCGCCAAAACAAAGCCAAGTCATCCAAATCGCGCGGGGAATATGCGCGAACCCGTCATTAGTGAAAGTGGGCGGAAAATCAGCACAATAAATGACACGACAGAAATGATAGCTTCAGTTACAGTTGACACGTCAAGAAGAATACTTCGACTATGCCACTGGAGATGACTGCCGCAGTTGCAGTTGAAACGTTTCGAGATTATAATCAAAGAAGACAACGGCAAAACCCGGAAGCCAATCAAAACAATTGAGACATTGATTCCTTACAATTCACATTCAAATACGAAAGTTTAAATTTCAATAAATATTTTACTACTTACGTGAAAAATAATATGGACAAAGGGTTGGCTTCATCTCTCGGATTTGGGTTGTAATTTTCTTTGGTTATATCCATAGCTTTAAAAAATCGTGTATAATTTATCGTCTCACTTGTAATATCCAAATATCACTTTCACACAACTTCAATCAGTCTTAACGTTATTCCTGAGCATTTTTCCTCACTGGTAAGTTAATAAAATCACTACCTTTTCACACCAAAACTGATAATCGCAGTTTGTTTATTTTAATTTTCTGTCTGAATTAACTAGCTTTAAGTTGATGCCTCTCTAGCCGCCTCTCTGGTTTACTTTGAAAGTTTCGGTTTTGAAAAACCAAAAAATAGGCTAATCTCCCTAAAGCTGAGTTTCTGGGGCGTCCAAGTTTCTGGTGAATGGGTTGGCACTGATTAGTTGATAATTTTGATGGTTTAGTTTTGTGATGACCTTCTTCTGAAACAAAATAACATGTTTAAATAATTTTGTCTACGAAGAATTCACATGGAAATAAATGATTAGTCAGAATTTTCAACTTAACTTTTAACAGGGTTAGAATTTGAAAAATATTTCATATGAATTCGGGTTGAACCTACTATCCGTCTATGAACTTCAACTTCAATGTTCTACAACTTCTGCGTTCTTCAACTTATACGTTATTCAACTTTCACGTTCTTCAACTTCTGCATTCCTTGTACGGCTTGTAAAATTACAAAATATTGCAAACTGAAGGAGTAGGCACAGGTGGAAGATAGAGAACACAAGGACAATTTTAAATTACGCACATCAGCAACTGTTTTATATGCAAATTGCTCCTTATTGGATCGTAATGCGTCGAGTGTATGACAAGTCTCGATTTCCATGTTGCCTTTCCCATTTTTCTCACGTAGGAATTAATTTCCCTACTTCGTTTTTGAAGGACATCCTTAACCTTCCACCCTTTTTACAACAAATATTTTACTTTTCTCGTCCTTTTCATTTTGAGGATTTCATTCAATTTTATTCACACTTATTTATATCGCCAATTCTCTCTGAAAAATATTTAATTTTACTATTTGGTATCATTCACAGATATCAGCCAGGTTTTTGCGAATAGGTAACTGTTCTTAGAATAACCTTGTCACATGCTCACATCGTTAAACACCTTATGAAGATACACCGTATTCATGAGATCATAAAGCCGCCCGCATAGAATAATAATAATAAGTGAAGTGATTCAGTACAACGCTTTAGTATAATCATCCTCCTCATAAGGCATAGGTGTGTGTCTACAAGAAACCGGGACAACATGGTGGAAAATGTGATGAGAATAGTAATTATGTCTACTTTTGATTGAATCTGAATTAAATACATGTTTGCAGTTTGTTGATGGAAAACGTTAGCATATTAGATAGATGAGACAACCCAAAAGAAAAAGTGAAGATTTTTTTCTGCTCATTTCACCGACTTGTTTAATGCTCTCCTTCAAAACGTTTAATACCGTTACATCGCTGTGCTCATGGTTGGATAAAAAAACCGCAACCTTCATTAAAACTAAAGGCAGTGGCTTGTAGTTTGATAGTAAATTGAAAAAAGTCATTGAATATGAGTTATTGATTGAATATGCGATATTAATTATATACGTGGTATATACTGATCGATAGGAAGTTTTGTACTTTATATGTTTTGTTCTCTATCAATAAAACTGTTTTTCATTTACTTTTTTTCTTTCTTCTGAAGTTTTTACAATTTTTATCTACAACAACGTTTGCCTAAATAGTCCATTCCAGAATTCATGAAGGGTCTCAGACCTGGGGTTTATTTTACTTCTGGTAATTGTTCCATTAGTGACGGTTGAGGATCTACTGAGCCAGTTTTACATCTCTGGAATAATTTGGTTATAGATTTCTCTGCAGCACGTCCATCTGAAATCCACTACTTTCTTCAAACTTCATTGAATACCGTTTATACAGGGTGTCCCTGGACTTCCTCTTTTCCTCTCGAGAATGTATAGATGGGGTCAAAATATCACCAGTACTTCATATAACTTTTTTTCCTAAAAGTCTTCGTAACCAAGTTACGGGCCCTCGAAGTTACAAAATGAAAAATGTTTTTCTTTGATAACTTTTCAAGTGAATATTCAAAATCATCCAAATTTTGGTAATTGACTAAACAAATGAATTCCTTCGATGAGCT